GTGAGAGAGAGAGAGAGAGAGAGAGAGAGAGAGAGAGAGAGAGAGACAGAGAAGAGACAGAGACAGAGACAGAGACAGAGACAGAGACAGAGACAGAGACAGAGACAGAGACAGAGACAGAGACAGAGACAGAGACAGAGACAGAGACAGAGACAGAGACAGAGACAGAGACAGAGACAGAGACAGAGACAGAGACAGAGACAGAGACAGAGACAGAGACAGAGACAGAGACAGAGAGAGAACAGTGCAATTCGCGAAAACGAGTCTGCGGGGAGACTACACAGTTCCCGAAGAGATTCGGCTCAACAAGGATTTCGATTTTCTTGTTTGCTCATGAATGTGTGTTGCCAACCACACACACACACACACACACACCCAGATCTTTTTTTTTTTCGGCGTAAGAGCATTGATTGAGCTCAGGCTCGGTGATCAACTATCCATCTCGCACTTGTCACCATGGCCAAGAAGAAGAAGACTACAAAGGGCAGCAAGAAGAGCACGGCCGCCAAAGTTCCCAAGGCAGCACCTGTTGCCGGCCCGACGGCGGCTGAAATTTCTCTTCGGCACGTTCCCTGCTAACTTTTTGATCATTTCCACGGCTCGACTGTTGGACTTGCACCCAGGCCGTTGGTCACCTGGACGCAAAAACCCCGCCCCAGTATGGAACCCTTTGAGTCTTGTTCGCTCAGCCTTGATCTTTGCTCGGATTACTTTAGGCTGGAGCTGGAGTCGGTGGAGCGGGAGCTCGAGGTTGCGCGCCATGAAGCCGAGACAGCGCGCTCGCATGTGGGTGGCTTCCGCCCCGCCGAATTTACATCCTCTCATGTCCGTTTCGACGCGAACCCTAATGGTTGACCCTGCACTGCATGGATACAGAACATGGCTCTGCGTGAGGAGCTGCTGCGCTCGCAAGAGGAGGCAGCAGAGTATGAGGCCTACATGTCCAAAAAGACAGAGCGCCAGCAGCTCAAGGTGCAGAGCATCTCCGACCGCAACCAGCAGGCCATTGATACGGTCAAAGCCGAACGTGATCGTAAATCCAAATACTATGCCGACCTCACCAAGAGTACGGGCTGTGCCACTGTGCAAACTTTTTTTTTTCATACTCCCACCACAACAGCAATGACTGACTCAGCTGTGCTCCTTCCCTTGATCGCCACACTCATTGTGTGTTTGTATTTGTATTTGTGGGTACCGGGTCTCTATTCTTGGTTGGAATAATAGCCTTGCAAGATGCCATACTTGAGCGCGAGCGAGATTTGGCCAAGGTGACCCAGCAACTAGAGGAGATGAGCGAGCTGGCGGTAGGTGCTTGCGCGCTTGAAAAGATTTTGGCTTTTCAGCTTTTCAAGCCCTGGGCCAAAAGGCATTCTGTCTGAAACTGCGTTCAGATACGAGAAACGTTTAGGCTCACCGCAGTCAACCTCCAGTCGCACCGACGCAGCCAAGAGCAGGAGATTGCTGCACTGGAAGCTGAGATTGATCGGTTACAAAAGGCACACGAGTCTGAACTTGAGCAGGTTAAGGCGGACTTGCTGCACGAGAAGATCCGCTTTCAACGCGATGCTACCCAGGAAGTCATCAAGCTGGAGCAAGCAGCTGCCAAGGTTTGTTTGCCACAAATGACGTCTCCTCTGCTGCATGCAGGCATGTTCCTCTCTCTCACGGCCTGCCTAAACCGCTTTGATGTTGTTGATGCGCCTGCATTTCTGCATCGTGGTCGCCAATCATGTCGGGACCGCAGGAGGCGATTGAGTGCCTCGATGAGCATTCACAGAATGTTCGTGAATCCAACCAACAGCTGCGGCGCCAACTTGTCCAGCTCTTTAGCGAAAATAAGGTTTGTATAGCAACTCCGAGTCACCGAGACCTCACGTTGGCTCATGCTCTCGTGTTGAGAGTTTTGCGGTTGATCTATCTTGGTTCACAAGGTTTTGTCCCCACGACACGCTTCAGGCCTTGCGGGAGCGTGAGGACATGCTCAAGAAACAGCATGGTGAACTCCAGCGCCTGTTGCAGCTGAGCGCACCTCACGAGGAGAGCCCGCGCGTTGGAGGACTGGATGCCACTGCCAGATCCACAGGGTATGTTGAGGCTCGTGGGCAGCTTGACCACGTATGGATGCTCACGCCAGATTGTGCTTCCTCGGGGTGACGTGTGTCTAGGCGAAAGACGCTTCGTGGTCCCGCTTTCTTATGAGCACATGGGTGTTCAATCGTGACATAGACGGCCTCGAGGCAACTCTGTTGGCGTGCTTGGTGATAAAAAAATTGTAAACGAATGTATGGCACACCCCACTGAAACAAGGCGGGGTGCGGAGTCGACTTTGATGATTCAATTGGAGGCGGTCAAAGATGAAGGGTTGAGAGGTAATCCAAAGAGCGCTGGCAGCTGACTCTCGGGCGCTCGTGTCGACATTTCTCGCTCCAAGTTGAACGAGCGTGACACTCCACAGTGCGCACGCACAGCAAGTCAAATCCGAACCACGATGGGAAATCAGACCAGAGGCAGATATGTCAAGACACTCTTTGAGCACGACAACAGACGTTCCACGCCCAAAGTGTAGGAAACGAAGGGAAAGAAAGAAGTGGGAAATGGCGAAGGGGGAAGAAAAAGAAGCACGAGGAGGGACGGTGGCCAGCCAATTTAGGGCGCATTGGCTGAAACGTACTCGGCCGCCTGGCGGCCCGTCAAGATCTTCTCGGCCTCGGCATCGGGGATCTCGAGGGCTGAATGGCAACGCACAGGGTCAGGGACATAACCGTCAGGTATGAAGACACGCGCAGACTCACTCGACGAGTTTCAAGAATGCAGGCGTTGTATAGCTCAGCAAACTTACAAAACTCGTGCTCAACGGCCATCACAATCTCGACGGCATCGAGCGAATCCAGACCAAGATCATTGATAAAGTGGCTATCCAAGGTAATCTAACAGATACCCAGTCATTCGTCATGGCCAATGTTGACGCTGTGAGGACGAGCACAGGGAGCGCTGGATCGACAGCGCCCTGCATAAATCTTGACATGTGCATGCCTGCCATGGCCGTATGAATCAACGCACCGCGCTCTTGTTCTCAATGGCACCAAAGTCCTTCAGAATTTGTAAGACACCGGCCTCGGCATCAGTCTGTTCCCGGTTGAGATAAAAACGAAAAAGAAGGAGGCGTGAGCGCGTCACCATCGTGTCCAGCAAAGTTGTATGATTGGGCACGTGGCTCGTAAGATGCAAGCTCGGCACCATGTTGCCAGAGAAACACAGTATGCAGGGCCCATACCTGTGACACAGCGTAGAAACGCTGCTGGGCCACCACGCAGGTGCGAGACATAGGAGTGCTATACCACGTCAGTGAGGTAGAGAGCTCCATGAGTGGGTGTCACCAAAGCCGACTCCAAGCAACAGGGCTGGTGGCGGGGCGCGCGCGCACACACAGACACAGACACACAGACACAGACACAGACACAGACACAGACACAGACACAGACACAGACACAGACACAGACACAGACACAGACACAGACACAGACACAGAAGCAGACACAGACACAGACACACAGACACACAGACACACACAACCAAGACGTGGACACACGGGGAGCATGTGCGTACCGAGTAGCACGGAGCGCGACCTGAGAGGTGCGCAGGATGTTGCGGAGAGCACTCATGATGCTGGGCTGTGGTCTACGTTGGACAAAGCGGCAAGGGCGGGTGAGCTGATGCGTGCCAAAGTCGAGAAAAGAGAGACAGCGCCTCAACGCCTTGTGAAACATGTTCAAAAGGCGCAGAAGTGGCCACGCCGCGTGGAGCATAAGCTGTGCACACGGGCACACAGCCCTTGGCGCCGCCAGTGAGCCGCTGCCTGCCTAACCTGCAAGCCAATGGCCACGTAAACCTGTGAGCATGCGAGACGCAGAGGAAAGAAGACACCCGGGGCCTTGACTTTGAAGCATAGCCAGACTCCCTCATCTGCTGTATTTGCAAGACACCCGGCCACCTGGCACCGTGCGACCCAATACGTCCTCCGCAGGCCCATCCCCCGCGCACAACAAGCGCCCGAGACACACACACAGACCTGCGTTGAGTGAAGAGGAAGAGAGAGAGTCAGCGACTGAAAAAAAAATCTCAAAGAAGAACGGAGAAGTGAAAGAGGGTTGTAAGAGACAGAGAGAGAGAGAGAGAGAGAGAGAGAGAGAGAGAGAGAGAGAGAGAGAGAGAGAGAGAGAGAGAGACAGAGAGAGAGAGAGAGAGAGAGAAATACAAAAGAAATAGACAAAAGGGCGACACGCGTTGGAAGAGCTGTTAAATCATGACATTTAGTAACACCATCGCTTGGGCCGATGACAGCTGGTAATGGAATGGCTCCTGTCTGACAAGCCAAGCTTCAAAAGAAGCTGGCACAGGTGTTTTGTTTCAAACCACCTATGCCAGCTTCACTCCGACTGTGCTCGGTGCGGGCCCGACGACTCGCCGCACCATTGCTTCGGCTGTGGTTCAAATTCAATTATCCTGAAGGGGCGATGGGTGTAAAGATAAAATTAGATAGCAGCTTGGGCGGGGTATCGCACACGCACACGGTCAATGATGTCGTTGTTCGGGGGACAAAGTGGGCAGGCCCAGCAGGCGTTGTATGGCAGTTGGTGATTCGGCAGGTACAAAGACGCCGCCTTGCTCAAGATCCCACAAGCCGGCGGCCGTGAGATGAAAGCCGTGTGCATCGGCCCAGCGGCGTATCTCCCTGTTATACATGCGGTTCCCCGTCCAACCCAAGACCGCAAAGGGTTCCTGGGCGGCTGCACAGAGCACCAAGTCGACCCTGCGCTTGGTCTTGGTCTCGGGTTCGCAGATGATGCAGAGCGCGCGGGGCAAGTCATCAAAAGTAGAGTGCGAGCGCTGCAGCGGCAGCGCACGCGAAGAGAGCTTGCGCTGAAGGCTCTGATGCGCCTCCGCGGCTGCTGGGCCGGCACCATCCTGTGCGTACACCAGGCAGCCTGCCTGGCGAACATCTGCTAGCACGCGCTGCAGCAAAGCCCCGGGCGCCATGGCACTGGCGGCAATGATCAAGTCTACATCGTGACACTCTGAATTCCCTCGTCGGTAACCACCCGTGACAGTCACCCGCGCACCCGGGTCTGCCGCTTGCACGAGGCCTAGTATCCAGACTCGCAGCGCATCAATGCGCTCTCGGGGAATGGGCAAGCACAAGTCTGTCCAGTCACGACAGCAGGCTTCGAGTTGTGCGTTGGCAGGTTTCAATTTACCCTCGTGAACAGCCTTGACCACGGCCTCGGCAGACCGCCAACCGTGCTGCAAAAATTGCCAGGCCAATCGCACCCCAACGCCCCAGAGTCGACGCAGGTCCCGAAGCGCATCGAGATCGCTTTCATGATAGAGCCGCGGGAAGCCGGCCAACGTCCCATGGTCCAGCACCCACTGTACGGCCTCATGTGCTGCGCGATTGAGAAGCGGGAGATTGGTCAGCTGGTCCAGGCTTTGCACCTCAAACGGAATCGCGCGCAGCGCCATGGCAGCACGTCGGTAGGCTAGCGAGGAGCTGGAGGCTGTGGCAGCGTGCGGCACCTGAAGGCCTCCGTGCATTTCTCGATCAAAGGAAAGCAGCTCAAGGGCGGCGACCAGTGGTTTGTTGCCATGGTCTCGACTTACGGCCCAGAAGCAGCCCACCAGCTGCTGGCAGTCAGCTCTGCGGGGCGGCGTTCGTGTTGGTACTTCGGGGCTGACTTCCCCGTCCTGCATCAGACGTCGCGAACGAGACCCGGGGGAGAGACCAGACGCATCTACGTGCGTCTCAAAGAAAGCGGCAGGGGCGAGCATCAATCAACATGAGAAGAATCAAGGACAAAGTGTCGCCAAGCCAAGGTCTGATGTGAGGGGAGAGGCTTCCATTCAGCTGTGGCCCCGGCTAGGCTCTGCTTGGTATCCCAGCCCAAAGGCAAAAAACATACCGGCGGCAAGCGCGTTTCGGCGTTTGAGAGGAGGCGCTGCACCTGAGAGGGAGCTTGAGTGGGAGGCAGGAGAGCGTTTGACGCGTGTGGCCTCCTGTTGTTCATCAGTGCCCGGCACCGGCGTGGCACGGTCAGAGCCGCTGGCATCTGGATCCGCACGGGGCTTGCTCTCAGGAGCATCGAGCGCAAAGTTGGCCGGGACCCCACCGGTCACGTCAACTACTATGTGGTGGGCTTCTCGCTCAAGCGCATCAAGACAGCGTTCGCGCAAGACATCATTAATGGCCGGGGCTCCCACTAAGCGCAAGTGCGGAGTCAAAGCAGCAATCGGGGCCGGCACATGGCGAGTGCGTCCGACAATAGCGTGCGTTGCCGTCTCGGGAGACTCGGTGACCGTGGCGCCCAATTGAACCAGCCGTTCCTTCCAGATGCGCCCGCGGTTCTGCGAAGGCGCCCATGACTTGTCGATGAAATACAAAATCGGCTTCATCGTTTTCAGCTGCCTCGCGCCGCTCGCTCGTTGTCGCCGAAGATGACCTTCATCAAGCTTATTAGGCGGGGTGAATAATAAACATAATCATAAACCGGCGAGTCTGCGCACCATCCTTTCACCGACTGTAGGCACGCAGCTGATCAGGCAGCAAGCTGGCTTTGCTCACAGCCATCATCCTGTTGAGGCGCTCCCTCGAGCTGGCACATTGACCTTGTCCACCCGACAGGAGCTGTCCAACAGCTCCACCCGACAGTTCCACCAATGATCACCCTCAGAGGCTGCAGCACACATCTACTGCATAAACTTGATAAACTACAGCAAAATGCACATCAAGAAGCAATAGCAATATAACGTTAGCAGAGTTAGGATACTGCATTAAGTTTATAAAAGGCGTCACAAACTCTGTGCCCTTGCTGCAACAACACGAACAACAACATCGCGGACGCATAACTGCATGCATGCAAATTCAGCAAGGGGCTCGCCATTTCGTGTGGTCGGGCGCGAAAGGCGACGAGCAGTCATGCGGGTTGTCTGGCGTCGGAGGTTGGCGGCCTTGGGCCCCGTCGGCATCGTGGGGGTCATGATAGCCTGGTGGTGGCTCGTGGACCGCTGGCATGCAAAGGACCCAGACGCCATCTTTGACGGGTACGCCCAAGGCTCGTCCGTCTGTCTGTACATCCTCAACGATGCACCACGTGCTGCTGACCCTGAACGCCTCTGGCCGCTTGGCTGTGCAGCATCTTAGAACAGCCTCGAGCACTCCATGACGCCTGGGCCGCCAAGGAGGAGGAGGAGGGAGGCGGCGATCCCGATGCGTGGCAAGGGGGAAACCTGAGTGAAACGCTCGCTTTCGAGATTGATTACAAAGTGCCAGGCATGGCGGCGCGCGATCAAATTACCATCAAGCCTCTCATTGACACAAGTCAGCCAAATGTCTATCAAGCAAGTTCCAGCCGACTACCTTGGCCCTACCCCTCCATGTGATCGGCATCGATGAACCGAGGAAACCATATCAGCCGCATTCTCATCTTTGCTTGGGCCCTGCGCATGTCATCTAGGCCAGCACCAAACGCTTTCAGAGCCACGAACGTTGCGCCGCCCGCGAGGGCATGATCAAGCGGTTTGTCTACATCAAAACTCACAAGACGGGATCCTCCACGCTGGCCAACATTTTTCATCGCTTTACCCACAAACATGGTGGGTCAACGCGTGCCTCCCGCAGACTCGCCCTGCCCGATCGCATTACGCAGACATACGCTTGATCTACATCTCATGCACCACCTGTGGTCGGCTGCTGCCGCCTGGCCCCACACCCTCAACCATGCTACTGCAGATCTGGCAGCTGCACTGCCCCGCGATGACCTGTTCTACTCCTGGCCAAATTTGAATGCGTCGCGAATCATCAATACCGTTTGGGATCAGCATCGCCATCCGAGGAAGGTTTGTGGTTGCGAGATTAGCCTCGCCTTCTGGAATCGGTCGCGACTTTGAAGGTCCACACCACCATTGTCCGTCTCTGAACTCATCGACTGCGCATGTCGTTTGCGACGTTGGCCCACGTAGTCTTACGATGTGCTCTGCTCAGCGCACGTCCGGTCAGTCGCACCGGGTCTCAGCCCGACCATGCAGAAGGCAATTCCTTTTGGTGTCGTCAAGGTCCTCGCTCATTCGCCTCTGCCTTGATGAATGCGTCGGTTTCCAGGTATTCGCGCCCGGCGCTGGATGCGCTCGTACCAGACGCGCCATATATCACCGTTTTACGTGACCCCGTGAGCCATGTCAAGTCATCTTGGACTTATTGGGCCGTGCCTGCTCACATTCGCGCTCGCACAAAACGAGACGTTAGCCTGGAGGAGTTTATGCAAAAGCTAGACTGGGACATTGCCAATAAGGGTGACCGCAATCTCCTCGAGAACAGCCAGTGCTTTGACCTCGGCCTCGGCACCCAGCCCTCACCAGACGAGATTGCAAATTTGATTGCAGACATGGAAAAAACATTCTTCGTCCTGGTTACCAACTACATGGATGAGAGCCTCGTCCTTTTGCGGAAGGAATGGTGTTGGGACCTTGAGGACGTGCTGTACATCTCTCTCAAGCAACGCAGCTCGCGCTCTCGGAAGCCTCCCCCAACCCAGTTGGATGAGCAAATTCTTGCCATGAACTACTGCGACCGCCAGCTATTTGAGCACTTCAACGCCTCGCTCTGGCGACGGATTGCGCTGTACGACGACTTTGCTGAAGAACTTGCCGAGTTTCGACATCAAATGCGCTCGCTTTCTTCAACTTGTGAGCCGCTGGTCGCCAACGACGAACACACACATCGTCGCTACCTCGAGGTGCAGAGTAACATGCCTGAGATTGAGCGCCAGTGTCGCTACACCCTCATGGACTCGATGGCCTTTAGTCGCCACCTCAAACACCTGGCCGGGGCCCCACCCTCCGTGACGCAGTGCCATACCCAGTTCCTACCGCGCCAATCCCTGCTTCTTTTCCGCATCCCGGGGAACCCCGACGAGCATCTCATGCGCCTCATTCACGCTTATGGTTACCGACGACACCTGGCCCCGGCCATTCCATCCCAGATTGCCGAGCGCTTCCGTACCGTCACCGATCGTGGTAAACACCGCGTGCCCTTCAACTTTGGAGCCACAGATCCTCTGTGGAAAGACTTTCGTCCTCCCGCGTTTGCTGCCCCTCCCGTCATTGATATGGTCCTGCTTATGGAGCCCGTGGAGCGCTTCGTCCGCCTCTTTCATGAGTATCGAGTGCCCGAGTTGTTGAGCAAGGCTGCCCGTGTGCGCGGTGAAGCCTCGCCAATGAGCGTGACTCTTGCTCAGTTTGTCTCCCGCTTTGACGAGCTCGTTCTTCAATTGCCCAACCACGTGCAGCGGGCCCTCGACAACGGGCAAGCACGCGCTCTCGGCCTGGATGCCCATCTGACAAGTGTCGACGCCATCACACCCGCCATATTTCGGCGACTACCTCAGCTGGGCGCGCTTCTGGTAGCTGAGCGCTATCTTGAGTCCCTCGTCCACCTGCGACGACAGGCTTGTCTGCGGCTGTCGGACTTGGCGCAGCTAGCTGACCCAGCCTTGCTCTCGAGACCGGGATCAACCTTGACCAACATCGTCGGCACTCCTACCGAACTCGATGCATCCCTCCGCAAGGCCATTACCAAGCTTTTATGGGCAGATGTCGTCCTTGTCAAAGCTGGTGGCGAAATTTTGAGCATGACGACGCGACGCGCGCCTCAAGCGTGGCGGGAGGTGGCGGAGCTTGAAAACTATTTGGGCGCTGCTCAAGCACGGTGCCGGCCATATCGGGACTTGCCATTGGACAAGCAATTGCAAGGCGTGCTCTATCGTCCGGGCGAGTATCTGTCTCATCTCACGGGGCCGCCTACCAAGTCAGTGCCACTTCGAGTCGACTATTTGCAAACCTCCCGTCCATAGGCTCAGCGAAACACAAAGAGTCTCATACACACACCTTGACGGTCCAACACAATGCACCTCACATTTGCTGATTCGAATTCTCAATGCCTCGTTTAGGACCGCCGTGCACGAAACCTGCTCTGGCATGTTTGTCAACAGCACGGTTTTGCTTCGGCTCATAACTCGTGACCAAACAAGGCGGTTCAAAGTCGGGTCGTAAGTAGTGGCCGTCTATGCTAGCCACTTTGTCATTGATGAGAGGTCACGCGAGTTTGTCAAAGTATACTCGATTCATTGAAGTGCCACACAGCAAGCTCTTGCGAATGGCGCAAGAAAATGCGTGGAGCCTAACAAAGGGAAAAAAAAGCTATTCACTCGAAATGATTGAAGCAAAATAAAGGGTTGTCACGATATCACGGTCCTGAAGACACAAAAGGTAAAAAAAAAAAAAATTGCCGCAAAGAGGCCGACATGTACAAGGATTAGAGTTGTGGTTCTCATGGACAAACGGCAACACCACTCAAGAAGAACACCATACGCAGGAGAATGGGCATGTAAACTCGGGAAAAAAAAAGCTGCGAAAGTGTGGAAACAAAAAATCAAAACAAGGGGGAGGGGCTTGGTGTAAGAACGGGAGAAAATAAACAGAAATGAAAATAATCAAGGAGAGGAGCGACGGATTCTAGGAGAGGAAGGCTGGTGACAATGCAAACGTCACTGTCGTACAAAGGGAACACGCAAAGCATGGCGGGGCATGGACAGCACCCAATACCCCAAGGCACGCAGAGAGCGGAAACGGCACAAACGACCAGGTGGGACGCATGGCGTCTACGGTGTATCAGAGGTACACATACGAAATCAGAAAGGAATCAACGGCCAGGTGAAGCGCACGACTTGCATGGCTTTTTTGAGGGAGACAAGGCGGCAGGCCGATACTAGATGGACGTGTGATGCCCCATCAAATTGCGAGAGGCCAAAACATGCTTCAAACGCTGTTGACGACGCAGGTTTTTGAAGGGTGCAGCCGAGGAAGGAGCCGAAGCAGGCGCTTGGGGAGTCGGACCAGCCGTGGCACTGCCACTCTTGAACCGGTCTGAAGCCTGCAGCCCGCGCCGAGCCGCCAACGCCTGGCGCTCCGCCAACATGGCTTTGGGGGAATTGGCCTTGCTCGTCGGGCTCAAGTTGCGGGGTTTGCTCGAGCCAAAGGGGAGACTGTCGGGTGAGGCCGTCATGGGCAGGCGTGTCGGTATCAGGGGTCCGCCTGGTCGTTCTGAAGCACACATGTAGCCCTCACTCGGGCCGCTGCGGGTGTGCTGCAGTGCCTGGCGACTAGCCATTGAGGCAGACGGCGGCTGCATCATTCGAACGGCTTCTGGGGCGGCGGCCTGCAACACGGGGTTGTCAGCCCATCTTTGCTGCAGTTGTTGGGAAGGATCAACACGATGAGCGCTGCCCGAGCCCGTACGCATGGGGCTACTGTCGGATATAGCGCGGACGCGGGGGGCCTCCACGTCATTGTTGCGGTGCAGGACGTTAAGGTCTGATTGCGAATGGCTCAGGCCTGAGTCGACAGAGGCAAAATTGAAAGCCTTGGATCCCAATAAGCGGCGCCGGTGTCTGGCACGCAGAGGGTGGGCAAAGCTGCGACGCATGAGCATACATTTGACCATGACCAGGGTCGCAAGTGATGTCGTGGAGGAAAGCGCTGGGGAGGGAGCGCTGGATGATGATGAGCACGAGGCCAGCGTCAGCGAGGGAACCATCAGGCTGGGGTGGCTGTCGCGATCTGGTACCGAGTCTCGGCTCGCGGCGCTTAGGCTGGGTACGAGAAGTGCAACTCGATCACGCGTGATGCGATGCTCCTCAGATTCCATGGTACCAGAGCGGGACGGGCTGGGACTCAAAAGGGCAAGCTGATCCGTGTTGAAGTAGGTGCGGGATTTTCGGACGGAGATCATGTGCTGGCGTCCAACGTTTTCCGCCACGCTGGGCATGGGATCTGTGTCATCGCGAGTGACCCAGGCATGACGCCGCAGAAGACCCATGGTCATTCGTTGTTGTGCGTCCTTGTCGAGCACACGGCGCAGGAGGTTGAAGGCTTCCGGGGTCAGGGGCGTAGGGCGAAGGGAGGGATCAAAGCTGATTTCCTCGTTGAGGACATTATTGTAGGTTTCGTAAGCGGTAGTACCCTTGAAAGGCATGGTGCCAAACAGAAAGCAATAGAGGGTGACGCCACAAGCCCAGATATCCACGGCGCGGGCATCAAACTGTTCAACGCTGGCGTCGCAACACTCGGGAGCAAGAAAAGCAGGGGTGCCCTCGGTGCGGGAGAGGCAGAAGTCTGTCAGGGGGTCTTCAAAGTAGTGGGAGACGCCAAAGTCGGTCAGCTTAATCAGGCCATCATCAGTCAAGAGAAGGTTGGACGGTTTGACATCCCGGTGGACGATGCGACGGGCATGCAGGTATTCAATGGCCAGCACGAGTTGGCGAAAGTAAGCGCAGGCCCGTGTCTCGGACAGCTGGACGATCGAGTCTGGCTTGGCCATGTCCATGACGACACCACTGCGCATGAGCTCCATGACCATGTAGACAATGTCATGTTCGGGATCATTGATCACCTCAAAGAGACGGATAATGTTGGGATGGTCCAAGCGCTTGAGGATTCCGACCTCTCGTCCGAGCATGCTGTCAATCTGTTGAGTCAGGTCAAAAATGCTCCCGTTGGGACCTCGGGTTGGGGTGGGACCGCGGGTGGAGGCTAAGCCCGGGGCGCGCCCAAAGGTCTTTCGTCGCAGGCGTCGCTTTGAAACACACTTGACCGCCTAGCAGTTTGTTTTGTTGTGATCACCATCCGGGGATGACACGCGGGGAGCGGCGCGTGAGTGAGGCCATGGGGACAACAACAAAAGCAGACGGACGGGGGAAGGAGGAGAAGGGGGGAGGGGGAAAGGGGGGCATTTTCAAAGGGTTTGAGAACGTACAAAGAGGTTGTCCGAGTTGATATCGCGGGCAAGGCGGACAGTGCCAAACGCGCCGCGTCCCAGGACCTGAAACATTCGATATTGATTCACCTGCTCAATCTCCTGTTGCTGCATGCTGCGAATCTTGTCCGTCTCGATGGTGGTGCAGCGCTTGAGGATTGTTTGATTCTCCTGACCCGGATCGCTGCTGTGGCTCGGGGGCGTGGAGGAGGCAAAATGGGCAGACCGAGTTTCGAAATCACCTCCATGGACGCTGTGGGTGGTTGAGGCAGCCTTGTTGAGGATGGCCACTTTGCGAATGCGATCACCGGAGTGGCGCCGGGAGAGGGGGGTCGTGGGAAGGAGATCGGTGTACGAGCCACCCTGGCTCGTGTTGGGGCCACGAAGGGATAGCATGATGGGGGGTGGCCGTCGACTCGGGGAATTGGATCGGGAAATTGCTCGGCTGGGCGGAAACTCAGCGCTCGCTCCACTGGAGAGGCTGGTGGAGCTGGACAGGGGAGTATTGGATTGGGAGTGGTGGAGTGGTGAATGGCAGGTCACCCGCGAGGCGGAGGGCGAAGTCAGGTGAAAGGGGATGGTCGCGCCCGGAAGAGCGGAAGCGGGGGCGGATGATGTGGTCGGAACTTGCTGGAGCCAGGAGGGCGGGCGGCTTGTGTGGGAGTCGAGGGCCGAGTTGAGAAGGGCAGTCGTGCCAAGTTCGGAGTTTAATGAGCAAGCGGTCAGGCCGGAGGAGATGCTGGAGGATTGATGTGACAAGGGGGGGCGCTCGGTCGCAACAGGTAGCTCGGGTGCAACAACAATCTCCGGCGGGGACGAGGAGGACGAAATGGCAGTGGGCTGCGAATCTGCGTCAGCCACGGGAGCGGGACTGGTGGTCCCTCGTTTGGTGGGTACGAGGTCTGAGTCTGCTACCGGGGCTGGAAGCGGCGGGACCAGGCTTGATGCGCAGACGGCAGGGGCTGCGGTGTTTGCTGCACAGGCCGGGCCTCGTGTCAGAAGTGCGAGTTCTGGTCGAGTCATGGCGGAATGTTGTCAATGGGCAAGGGGACCAGAACCCAAGCCAAAGGGGGAAGACTGATGAAAAGGAGGGCCAAGCCCGAACGCAGAGTGGTGGATGGGTCAAACGAAACGCTCGGGCAGTGCGCGGTGATGGAGGGGGCAACCCACCCCCCCGCTCTGAGTGTGGATGGGCAAGACTGGTTGGTCGTCGGTTGGTGGTGGTGGTGTAGGAAAGGACGTTGTCAATGACCAGGGGTCAAGCACGGCGGCGGCAGGTAAGCGCCGGGGTCTAGCCAAGGAAGGGTGGTTTCACAACGGCACCCAAAGCTCTTCAAGTACGCGAGTACTCAAGTCCGCTGCATCACTTTTGCATTCAAAGTCGCACGGCAACCTGGCATGACGAGCTCGCCACAGGCATCCAAACCAGACGGCGGGGTCGTGGTTGCAAAGAGACGTTCTTGGTCAAAAACTCATCAATGAGCAAGGTGGAGAGGCTCTGCTATTCTGTTCTGGCAGGACAAGCGCGCGGAGAATGTGCTTGGTGGCCCCTCACAACTACACCACAATGTTCTTCCCTTTCGTCTGGTCGGGGGTCAGATTTGAAGAAATGCTATGCTGTCTTGTCGCCCACACGTCGAGCGCAGCGGGCACAAGTTCAAGGCAAGCAGGACGGGAAGCTTGGCGCGTGTCAGTCTTTTGAGCGGACACACACACACTAACTGTTCGTCTTGTCTTTTTTCGGCACAGTGTCCGCTGCGGATGCGTGCTCGCTTGAGACTGGAATGAAGGCACACGTTCACTCGCGTTTGAAGTGTGCGTGCTGGCAAGGCAAGAGGAGGATTGATCGGCTCGGGGGGAAAAGAGCGGGGCTTGAATAGAGGGAAGAAGGGAAGAAGGGGCTGGTTTCACAGTCGAGTGGGGTTCTATCGTACGGGCATGGGCAAGGACGAGGGCATGAGAGAGCTTAGGCGCGCCGAGTTTGCTGTAAAGGGTTGCATGTGTGTGGTATGTGTGTGTGTGTGTGTCTGTGTGTGCGTGCGTGCGAGAGAGTGAGCGCCAATGTCATTGCCGTGGGCGCCTAGCGCAGGCTGAAGAG